CCTGATGTATACACTTTCTCTGTAAATCAACAAACTTTTGTACATTGATGCCCCGCACGCGACTTAATGCCGGGGCTCTCCATTTCCCTGACTCCAAGGAGCGTTCCTATCAATTTGATATTTATTAACATGCCCATTTTCCGTTTCAACTTCTCCCAGAACTCGACCACTCTTATGGCCTAAATTATTTACAGGGCTACCAAGGCTATGTTGCTGTTCATATGGGGAATCATAATTGTGGCCCCATTCGTTTACTTCTTGCATCCGTAAATGCGGAAAATTACTGGAATTAGCATTTCTAGTTCCATCTTGTCCTCTTGCATAGCCCGGCTGAGGATCTCTTCCACCTTGGCTCCGGTGACTAGATGGAGCAGAAGAAAAGTTATTTTTATTATCACCACTGAATGCTCCTCGTTGACTACTCCGATTATAGTTAAAATTACCTTGTTGACCTCCACGGTTACCGCGACTCAATTCCGCTGATGCCAACTCACGATTGGCAGTATCATGGCCCCTGATGCTTTTTCTTGCAATTTCGGAAGTGCATTCCTTTGAATAGTGACCTCTTCCACCACATCGATTACACAAACCGTGATCTCTTCGATATTGCCATTCAGCCGGGGTCACAGTGACTCTAGTCAATTGCATTTGATCTAAGTCCATGGGATCACTTGTTGGCATCATTTCGCTACTATGGGACTTGGAAAAATTCCCTCCACTTGGGTTGCCAAAGAAGCTGCTTTCGATATGGCGGTTTGACTCCTGATTTTTCCAAAATTGAGAAAAAATCTCTATCCATGCATATACGTCATCTTCGGAAGGCAGGGGAATATGATTTTTTGCCGCTGTCATAGGACACTAATCACGTGCTACAATGTACGCTTGGACCAGTGAGGAACCACTTTTATGTGTATATAGTATTGCGTTAGCCACCATGTCTTTCTCTCCTCATAGATTACAATCATATTATTGTTTTGCCTTTTAGTCAGAGTCTTTCCTGACCCTCATGCTATCACAGCCGCCACTCGTAGAGGTTCGGAAACCTTACGCCTGAGATGATATACTCGCATGGAAGAACTGAGTTCTCCTTAATCTGCAAGTCTTTCAAATTCTGAAATAAATGATGGAAAGTCTTTCCATTTCCCAGTCATTCTCAGATCATTCAAATTTCCTCTGGCTATAGCGCGTATGTCAGCTGTAAGATATTTTTTGTCGAGTTCTCGGAAAAGTTCTGCAGAAGTAGACCATGGCCAGCCTGATGGGTCATTGGTACTTGAGAAAAATAAAGCAATTTTAGACTGCAGGCGAGTATAAGCATCGCCTTTGAGCCAATTGATTGCATCACAGATCTTCTTGAACTCAGAATCAAAGTTCCCTCCGCTAGTATTCCACTTAGAGATTAGTTTAAACTTCCAAGCATTGTAATCATTGTGCCTTTTTACTACGTCTCTCTGATCACCTGAGAAAGGGTCTATGGATGGTGGCTTCTCTAAGTAAATCATACTTGGCGGAAATGATTGCACCGGGTGCTGTTGGATGACAGAAGCTTGGGGAACTGTGGGAGCTACGGAAGGGGGTTTCTGTTCTTTAATTGGAACCTCGGATAATTGACTTTTGAGCAACGAGATTTCATTTTTCTGTTTGTTGTACACTGATCTTAGTTTTTGAACCTCGTCGTTTCTCTCCTCATTCGTCCTTTGTAAGGTATGTAGAGTTTGCCTCTGGGACACACAGTGTCCATTAATAAGTCCGAAAAGTTCATGGAAAATATCTTTCACTTCTGCCGGGGCATTAGCCAATATAGAAAGGTCGACTTTCTTTTCAAAATTGACGTCAATAAAAATTTCTTGTACTGCAGGGTACTTGGTTATCAACTCCACTAAAGCTCTCCAGGCCCTCTAATGTCTATTGTCACGAGTGTATGAAGGAGCGGATTCAATGTTGCTGTCTTCTCCCCAAGGATTATGCATTTTTTTATTTGTTTTTAATTACTCAGTCCTATCTTGTCTCAGATTATGATATATATCTCGGTCTTTACTCGGTCTCGGTTTAGTGGCAAAATCTCTGAATCTCTGAGTCTACCATAAGGCTTATTTTAAATCGCTACGCGCTATAATTATTCCTGGTAGCCTAAAATTTGATATGAAGCGCGTGCGAAGAAAGGTGCAACTAACTATCACGGGCTGGCGTTGTATGATTACTCGGATGTTCAGAATATATAATTGTAGTTGCACAAGGAACGAAACTAATCTACAAGCAGAGATCTAAATCTAAGTATCCTCGCTTAGTTACGCCATAATTATTAAGTGACTACACCCCAACTAGCTGCCCCTGTGACAATCCAGACATGTCTCCATCATCCGTTCATATTTCTCCGCGCGAAATGTGGTCTGAGATGTCTCCTTCCCAAGTGGAGTAGGTTCTCAGGCTACTGATACTATACCAGAAAAAATAACCACTCTGATCGGTTGTTGAGGCGTGGTGGTTTGTGTTATGATGGGGATGGAGATGGAGATGGAGATTGTTAGAAATATTGCGCAATGTAATTGGCGCAATATTCATGGAACGAAAGTAGAAGTTGACTAAAAGAATGTCATGTTCGGATTACGGCTAAAAGTGTGGGAAGTGTGCGCTACAAGTACAAGTGTAAGCGACACAGAGCCTAATCCACAGCATAAACGAGTGTGGCGCCATCTAGGCATAGAAAACCCCCAATAACCTCCTTGCGCCCACGCCATACAGCCGCTCATATGTCCAATAGGTAGCCTGAAGCGCTACCATATTATCTGTTCCAACCTCTTAAATACACACGAGATCGTGTCGGGAACCTAGACGAAATGGAGGGCCCATACGTCCACAACACTCCGTGTCTCCATTTCCAACAGAGATGGAGATGGAGGACTTCTGAGTGAATGATAGGTCCGATGCTGACGAGAGGTCGTAGATTCTAGTTATGCTTATGTTTGCTTTCGACTTGAACTTGGATACGACTTTTCTTGGCTATCCCAATTGTGCAAAGTAGACTGAACAATTACATCGGCACCGCTGGAAGATGAAGAGTTCGTGATTTTGATTTTGATTTTGATTTTGATTTTGATTTTGATTTTGATTTTGATTTTGATTTTGATTTTGATTTTGATTTTGATTTTGATTTTGATTTTGATTTTGATTTTGATTTTGATTTTGATTTTGATTTTGATTTGATTTTGATTTTGATTTTGATTTTGATTTTGATTTGATTTTGATTTTGATTTTGATTTTGATTTTGATTTTGATTTTGATTTTGATTTTGATTTTGATTTTGATTTTGATTTTGATTTTGATTTTGATTTTGATTTTGATTTTGATTTTGATTTTGATTTTGATTTTGATTTTGATTTTGATTTTGATTTTGATTTTGATTTGATTTTGATTTTGATTTTGATTTTGATTTTGATTTTGATTTTGATTTGATTTTGATTTTGATTTTGATTTTGATTTTGATTTTGATTTTGATTTTGATTTTGATTTTGATTTTGATTTTGATTTTGATTTTGATTTTGATTTTGATTTTGATTTTGATTTTGATTTTGATTTTGATTTTGATTTTGATTTTGATTTTGATTTTGATTTTGATTTTGTGCCTATCCACAGCTCGTGACTACTGTCACGTACTGGACGGCCCAGTCCCTAAAGAACTACCCGACGCTCTAGCACGCCCTAGGGCACCTAGAAATCAAAAAAGAGTCCGACCAGCTTTCCGCCACTTTACTTTCAAATTTAAATATAGCATATTTCCCTTTACCAGGAACTTTCCATCTAATTTACATATAGTTTGACATTATGCTCACAGGCTTACAATGAATGAAGGTAACGCTACGAAAGAGGAGATTGTGAGTGCTTCCATCCAGCATTAGTTCATCACCAAGTACCTTCTTTCCTAGGGGGCATCTGGTGGGTTGATGGATTCAGTCGTGGAACTTCGTCTCCTCGACCCATTTTCCGAATGCGAGAGCGCCTTCGGGCGTGCCGAGTATCTATCTGATGCCAGCGTGGGAGTGTCGAGGTCCACCGCAAAGACGGGCACGGTTTCTTCCTATACTGCAGTAGAAGAAGTGATCTAAGCTTTTTTCCTCGCCACAGGAGCAAGTCATTAGGGCATTTTCGTGTGTAAAATACCGATGGTATCGGGCGAAATCTCCGTCTCCGGAACGAGCCTCAATTAACACCCCAAATACAGATCGGTTCAAACTTTTCAGTTATGGCGTTATTCCTATACTAGGACCAATTCTGAGTTCTTTGTATTTTTTAGGGCCTTCCTGAGCCTAGTAAGCGGTGGTGGAAGCGTTGTACAACCGAGAAATTTCTCTTTTTGCTCGTGCTATGGATAGAGGTAGGAGTAGCGCAGTCATTAGACAAGCCGACGTCGCTAGAACATCAGCTGCTTCATTTCCAGGGGTTCCAGAATGTCCGGGGTATCATCTAACACTGACTGCTCCTGCCCTAGTATAGGATGCCCGTGTCATGTTCGTCTAGCTAGCTGCTGGCTGGCGAAATTTGGCAATTTGGCGAGAGCTTGTTGTGGTAGGTGTTAACAAGAGGAATCGAAGAGCCGGTTCTTGGTTATCTAGGTAGATAGTTACGTTGGTTGCGCAAGCGGTCATGGGATTGTAGAGAGCAGCTACAAGGCCCTCTGTTGCTCCAGATATTTCTGCGTCGTATACCTCTGATAAAGCACCTAGAGGGATGGTTCAGCAGGCAATCTCATGGGTCGCGCCGCGTCGAATTGAGTATCCAGCTCCTTCTTGATTCTCGATCAGAACGCCGTCGGAGAAAATAAAGAGGTCCATCCTAAATCGTTGGGCTACACGGGCCTGGTAGGGGTAAATAAAAAAGTCTTGGGTTTCCAACACGTGACTTAAGTCTCAGCACCCGTAGCAGTAACACTTTCAGGTTGATGAGCGAACGTCTGCGCCGATTCATTCTTAGATAAAAAACCTCACGAACAAAATTTCCACATTATGCCTCCACCTACTCACCTCATATCTGGGATTGGTGATCCGCTCTTCGCAGCTATTATTGGTCTCGCCGCAGCAGGAACCAGGATTAATCGAGAAGAGAAGGCTCTCGGCCATAGCAATCAAGAGACCATCGATGCCGTCCGTCGGTAAGCATCAACGTTAATTTCCTCACGACGACTAAGGAATGCTGACATGCGTGGAATTTATGAAGGAGAATTAGCCGTGCCATCTTCTCTGAATCAGCAACCGAAATCAAATCACAGGAAAGTCGAAACTGATGGAAGGAGGGAGCTCGATTGAATGCATGAAACATTATGGAAGATTACTCATTAAACTAGAAGGTCATGCTACGCCACTATCTTTCTCTTTCTCTTAAAGATACTCTCAAACAACAAGTCGCCAAAAAGCTTTGCTGGACGCCCTTATTGATTGTGCAGACTTTGCCACAAGCATCATGGTGAAGAGGGGTTCATTTACAGAAGGCGGCACGACTTCGTCAGGCCTTTCAATCCAACCATATTATTCTAATTATTCTACATATATCTTTGGAGTTAGAACGATTGGGGATATCGAGAAGGCCGCGTCGTTGACAATTACGTGACTACAAGTCATGTACTTAGTTTCACTTAAGTAATAGTAGGAATGCGCTGTACGATCTCAATGACTGAGGGTTCATTATTTACTTGGTAATATAGATATATATTCATATATGTAAACCTCTCAATTCTCTGTCCACTAAATAGAGAAATTGGTTGGCGTCGAGAGAATAAATTTGGTTCCACCACAACCAATCGTGGTTTATCGGCAGTCATCTACCAAGGAACATCATAGAAGAGCTGTGAGTGTTCACAAATATGACAGGATCTATAATCTAGGGTAGACACTTTCCGATACCAAAGTGCTGCTTACTGTATCAACGGGCAAAGTTTGTATGAAAAACTCACCGTCGTTTTTGTTTGTCAGAATTAAGGTGAGACTTGCGGAACTACTACCACTGTGAACGATAACCAATCGATTTAAATGGCCCGGCGTATTACAAAATGTCCACAGGTCAGAAATAATTATGTCGAGGTAAATTTAGGGGACTTTCTTGCAAGCTTTGCTCTCATATTTCTAGAAGTCGGTAGAATAAATTCACCTCGGGCTACAGACAATTCCATGAGCCAAATTTGCCATTACTGAATTTTACTCACCAACCTTGTGACCACGGCCATGGAGCTACGACCGTCAAACGATGCGAGCGTGTCAAGCTACTCTAATCCCGCGGGAACCAGAGCCGTATTACAGGGGGGCACTTTCACTTTGTTTCAGATGGATCGTCCGGTCTCACCACGTACGTGTTTTACGGGTCTTTTAGAACGATAGGCTTTCGCGCTCTGTGTCATTTTTGTGAAGATTGCTATCATGAATATTTGCTCATAAAAACGGACATCCCCCGACCCTGATTGTCGCTCATAGGGAAGTTTCGGACCCTTTGGTTGTCCAAACATGCCCAGATCACCCGGTACGCGAGCAGGGCAAATATTGAGATCGTATCTCGTGGGAAATATGGGCTACATCTATACAGACTCTCGCAGACGAAGTTAAAGGTCATCGATACAGCATTTGCGGATTGCGCGCATTATTCTTGAGTGCAAGGGCAGATTGCCATACCACTCGGCCATGCGACCTCGTAGCTTGGTTGGGAAAAAGGTGACATCAATGCCTGGTCTCCTTTCGTTCTGCTCCTCCCCGCTTTGGCTCGATGGAGGATCTGCAGCAGGCTAGCTTGTATTATAGGCGAGCGATCAGCGGAACCTGGGAGGTAGACCTCCTTGCCACTCATCTCGGGGCTCGGGACCTCTGCACTATCATGACAACCACCCTCGCGAAGCATGCAGATCCGCAAGAGGCGTCTGCGGCATGGACTGTTCCGAGGGTCTAAGCAGACAAGTCTTTCTCTGCTAGGAGACCCGGCGCGACTAGTAGGTGGAGGTAGTCGGGCCGATGTACGGAGGTGACGAGGAGTTTTAGGCACTCCCGAACCACTGCCTAATGTCCCATCGGCCCTTCGAGCCCAATAGCATCAGGCTAACCGTCGATGGTGCCCGGAGGATCTCACCTAGATTGTGCCTGCACACCATCTCTCTGATGAATCATGGGCCTCTCTTGCAGCGGAGGCTGCGAAGAAAGATCTAGCCGTCGCTTGCATGGTTGCGACAAACGCCTCTCGGATGAGCTTAGGATTTGGCGCAAGGAATCTAGCCGCCACTGGCCACCAGTGCAGAACTAATTATTTTTTTCCAGAATCACACAAGTCGGTGAGCGGCCAATTTAGAGGTACATCCGGACGCATTGCCTCGGGTCAAAGAGGGCTACTGACCCACCTGCGTACACGCCTACTTCCCCCCGCGAGGCCCAGGCACGCCCAAAAGTTTATCATCACCTCCCCGTTCCCTCACTGCTTGTGTTTAGAGAGAGAAGGTGCGCCGCCGGCGCGCTCGTCGCAGCTTTCGATGGACGGTGCTCCCGTACAAGGTCCAACTACCGTCAGTTGGCCCCCGCCCCCCGGCACGCTGGGACCATGCGTTCAAACTTGCTGCCGCTAGATGCGAAATGCGCATCGGGGCCCCTAATCAGCGCCAGGCCCTGGCGTCATCCCAATCGGGGAGCCCTGTCGTCCAATCTTCGGACGAGAGAGGTAGTGCATCGTCTAATTTGCGCTGCGCTGAAATATTACAGGGTGCGCATCGACGATCTCCACTCCCCCAACAGAAGGGCCGACGTGTCTATCCCGCCTATCGTAACTTTTGAGACTCCCTCCCTTTGATGCGAACGTACGATGCATAGTCTTCACTCGTCAAAGCATTTAGTTTACGGCATAGTCACGGATTTGGGCTGATCAATATTGAATACTAAGTTGAAATAATAGATTGCTTTGACTAAATAGACGTTAATACAGCTGGAATAAATCTTATTATGTACAGAATTGAAAATAATTAAGCCGAGATTGACGCTTCGTTGACTCATGAGGATTTTTCTCGGTCCTCGAACTACGAGGCAAATGCTTGACCGACTGGACTCAGGGTGGTTCCCGAAGAAATGAGAATCCCGTCTGCGGCCATAAAGTATGCGTATCGCTCCACGTAGTCCTGGCTATCGAGCCAGGGGAGCACGTCATTAAGGAATGCTTGCTGTTGCGCCACATCGCCCGAAGCTTCGAATTCAGTAATCCACACCGGACGTCCTCCACCTGCGGCATGTGCTTTTGTAACGTAATTCTTGAAATCCTGAGCATTTCCACCATTGTACCAATGAATGTTGACAAAATCAATAGTGCAACCTGAGCACGAGCTGATGAAGTTTTGAAGGTATGTGAGGCCCATGGGTGCGCCGCCGTTGGTCACAGCCGGAGATCCGAGTTTAGCCTTTCCAGCGTATGGTTGCATTAGTGAGCGATAACCATCAACAGCCAAGGGAATACTCAGGGAGGATTGGGCAGCAAGGTCTGGCTCATTGAAAGCGAGAAGATGGGTGGAGCCAGATGCAATGGCTTTATCAGCTGCGCGATTCCATCCCGCCGAATGCTCACCAAGACCCCAGAGCATGGGCACGTATTCGTAATTATTTGGGAGGTTGGGAGTGGTGCTGCCCCAATTGTAAGCCCAGGAGACTTTGGATGAAGATGAAAATGCTGCTAGTTTAGATACATCGTTGAATGCAAGTCCACGCTTTCCAGATTTCTTTGAGACATCGTGCGCGGGAGGTGTGCTTGGGTTTTGCGGAGCTGGCTGAGGGTTGACAACTGGTGGAGCTGGTTGAGGCTCAGGTGTTGTTGGTTCAATTTCCGGATCGGTGGTGGGTGGGGTTGAAGGTGTGGCAGGAGCTTCAGGAGAAGGAGCTACTGGAGTTGCAGGCTCATCATTCGTATCAGCTGGATCGTCGTTGTTGGGTGAGTCTTCAGTGGGGGGAGAGGGCGGATTGACAGGTGGAGGTGGAGCTGGAGCTTCAGGTTCGGTGTCTTTGGCTTTGAAGGGTGCTGGAGGAGTGGTCGCTTGCGGCTGTACCGGTAGGGAAGTTGAAGTTGCTGGAGGCGCGTTGTTAACGGAAGTGGCTTTATCGAGATAGCTAACTGTTTCGACAGGGACAGCGCGACCTGTCGAAATAGATCCGTCAGGGAACTTAATTACGTCCACCTGTTCGGTGACGATGACATTTTTTTGAACACTATACAAGTTTCTCTTTCGGATATCAAAACGACCGGCAGAAACATTGAATATGAAGGTGGATGATGCAAGAAGCAAATATGAAAGATTTGTTGTCAACATTGCGTTTAGGATTGGTTGGAGTTGAATAGGTTTATTTGCGGACTCTTGAAGGAGCGTGATCGCCGATGAGAGCTATGTTGGTATCTTTCAATCAGGATGAAGGAGCGTATAGTATTAATGATAGTCTGCGGTGCTGGTGTTTTGTAGGGTCTCCAGCGTCAAGTTTGCCTCACAGCAAGGTGTAGAAGCAGTGATGGTACGTTGTAATCACAATCGAGAACCTGCGCGACTTCAAGTGCGACTCGATTATAAGGACTGATATGAATGACGGTACGGGGCACAAGAGGCAAGAGAATGAGCGTAATCTTAAAGAAAGTGTTGTTGTGTGGAAAGTTAGAATATATGGAGAAGGGGTTAAAGGTGACGAAGGGGGAAAGCCAAACACATATTAGAGTTTGGATCCACATGGATTCGGTTACAGCCAGCAGTAGCCTTAGCAGGAGTCTGACGCTCGGATTGGCAAGCCCCCAAAAAGCAAATCAAAGCCCAAAGCGATGTTGTTGCCTTGGGCCTACAGGCTACTAGTTTGTTGGAGATGGACAATATTGTGACTGTTCATTTGCTCGGCCCTAGACCAACTTCTAGAGCTCCATCGACTCGAGCCCGAAAGCTGGATAGTTGGAGAATAGGCGGCTACCAATCTTCGCACATTTCTACCTACCCCGAAAGCGGGCAGCTAAAAGCTCTGATTAGTGGCTCCAAAGCCTAGGTGCATCACGTCACCGACTACTCTCGGCTCTGACTCTCTCCATGACCAGCTGCTGTATTGATGGGATCCATTCTACTACATGAGACTGCCACGAGATCGGGTGAAGGAGATACGAATCGATAAAGTTGCCAGAGCGACCTGCTGACAAACTTCAGGGGTTGAAGTATGGGAATCGCGTTCACGCGCCTTTGTTAATTACGGCCGCAGCTTCGGGCTGAAACGAAGGCGCGCCGCTTCGCGCGTTGGACAATTTGTAGGTCAATGCGCTGCCGCGTCGTGTTGGCCTTCCATTTTCTTTCCTATAGGGGCATGTCAGTTTCCTATGGTTGGGAGCTCGGGAGGTGCTCACACGGGTACCACAACGGGCGTCCCTGGGACCTGCATATGGCAGGGACTCCGCGTAGCTTAGCTGCAGTCGAGATTGACGCGCAAGGCCCAACGTGGTCTAGCTGCATGCACATTCCGATGAGTCCATTAGGGCGAGAAATTTGCATCCGCAACATAACAGGATATCATTGATTTCTTGTCTCGCAGCCCCTGCGCAGATATCTGGAATTTGGTGTGCGACGAAGTTCGTGCCAACAAAATCGGCTGGGCGACAGCTCTCAAGGACGAAACCATTGTAAGCAACAATTGAGGTTGAGGACGATCGATCGAGCTGACCAGCCAATCGAGACTTTTGTGGGCAGTCGCAAGAAAGGTAAGCTTATACGGAGCTAAAGATTTCTCCCATATCAGGCCCACATGTGGTTAGGTCTTGGGATTGGTTAAACTATCCACTGATTTGAGACTCTAGGAGTTTGTCCCTCCGCCCACGCAACTTTGTCTCCGACAGCAGATCTAGCTATGCGAGGGGTAACATGGTGGACACATCCGAAGATTTCTGTCGCACAGCTCTCTGGCACTTATTTACAAGGGAGGTTGCTGAGTTTATTGATTCGTTGTGGGCGGTTGTTAGTGAAGAAAGTGAGCCTGTGCCGCAAGCTGATGTGGTGACGACTCGTACCCGGCAAAGCTGATGATGGTGGTGCCCAGGTCATTTGACACATTAAGGTGGACCACGTTATAAAATGTCCTTGCTTTCATAATTACGTAGTGTTGGCCTGAAATAGTGTATTGTGGTCATATGGGAGTTTGGGAAGGGATGAATCAACGAACAGCTTAAATTAGACTAAAAACTTAATGGCCATCTGTAATATCAATTACTAACGTGTTTTAAGTCTATAGTTTATCCTCAGACAATGGAAGCACACCACTCAAAGATCAGGTCACGCGATATAAACTTTAAATAGCCAGATGACTATATTCGGCACGCCATGGGCCGGTCCGCTAGCTGGGCCAGCATGCAGGCAGTGCTCTTATTTTTATCTGTAGGTGTATATAGCCCGTCTAGAAATATCACTATTGATAGACAACCTTCGGAGCCGCTGTAGATTCGTCTTTCTGTGTACGGCGTCAGAGATGATTGACTTTTAGCCGGCATGATTTTAGTAACAAGGCGAGGATAGACGACCACTGTCCTGAAATCGATACAAGTACTCAGGTTTGAAGTAGAGAGAGGGATCCACCACTAGGGAATTTGTCCTTGTTTGTAACGGGTCCACATCCTTGAAAAACAACGCTGTGAAGCCTCGGAGCCGTGTCTGGACAAGAGGCCCGTCGGCCCCGACAAGAATGACTGCCGGTGTCGGGTCAGACCAGCCTGTACAGTCTCATGACAAACTGGGTAACCAAGTACGACGGAAGAGTAGCGCCGCGCTCGCATGGCTGGAGCGTGCACATTGGGAACTACGTCTTCACCATATAACCTTCTAGGACGAGCTCGCGTAATAGTGGTACGCGCAGGGCCTTTTGCCCTTCTACAGATCTCTCTCCCCGCCTATCTTGCCTTTTCCCTGGAGACACAGCATACTGCGCGCGCATTCCCGTGTGACGTGGTCATTGTCGCGCCCAAAAGCCCCAGCTGTCGATGTACCTGACCCTGTGAGATGAGTTATTTCAATTTTCTCTCGTTAGACCCAGTCGTGATGCATGAGATGTCAGAGGCCTCGGATCTGTAACAATTTCGCTTTCCCAGAATTCGTTTGACTGGCCTACGTCACGAAACTTGTGGAAGGTTATAGTGCGGCGGCCAGACGTGACGAACAGCGAGTGCATCACCATACTCATCGAGGATCAATTGAAGAGGATCGTCTTTCTAGCGTTGGCCGGCGGTTTCCGGCAGCACTCCCGATACACGTCGATACGTGATTGCTCTTATCTCGAAACATTCAATTACACATATGGATATCGGGGAAGGTGTTTCCCAGGATGGCCCCCTTATTCATCTGTCACTGCAGATCAGCCAGGGTCCAAAGTCCGTGTCGATTCAATTAACGGATATGCGAGCTGGGGGAGAGCTGTGAAGACAAGCAAATGCCACGTTAACCGGACTACTGCCCTCCTTACGTTATTGCTAACATTGGCAGATAGTCCCAGGGCTCGAGATGATAGTTTGTGACATGCGTAAATGACATCTATTGGGGCCACATTAACATACCGATAATAACTCGATGCCACTATATCAAAACTAAAATTAATCAATTTCTCCAACGAGGTTCTGTAGCTCCCGTCAGGGCTCAAGTTCTAAATCCCAAGGTCTGCCCGTGCTTAGATTCGCCTACCGGTCCCCGCGAGTTTCTCAGCGCCAGAGACAGAAGTAAATGGCGTTCCCAGTCAAAATTTCCACTTCTTTCACACTTGCATCCCGTCTGCATGAATATTGCTGCTTGTCAACGCACCGATATACTTTGCCTGCGTAACGAAAGCAAGCTACTTCACGGAGTAATTACATCTCAATACGTATCATACCAGTTCGTTGTGTTCCGCAGACGACATAACTCTGGGAAAACAGCGTGGTCAAGAACATGACTTTTGGCCAAATTAATTCCCACGGCAACCATTGAATGTTTGTGTAGATGGAGATACACACAGCTGCTTGATATGACAAGGATTGCGAGACTATCGGTGTAGATGAATTTTGAATTGATGCTGGCTTTTAGAGCTATACCCCCCGAATCTTTAGCACCGCAATTAAACGCCGGATGCGTTCAGCATCGCTCATCTGGTAACCTACCATTGACCTTGCTAACATGCTGCTCATATTGAGCTTCAGTCTCGCCTCTCTAGATGCTCCCTCAGAACTTACGCGAAGATATTGCCGGCAAACTCTAGCATGGTACAAGCATCTCACACTCGACAATAGTCACCCAAGCGTTCCAAATTTACACCACATCCCGACGACCACGGATGTTCGAGACAAAAATTTTACATCATACCAGACCATCACGCCATGTTAGCTCTTGACGAATATTTCTCCACTCCCCCTACCGTCCTTGAGAAAATATCTATTTACACATCTACCATCGACTCTAAACGCAAACAATGCTGTCAGATTGACAGAGAAGGTATTTTATGCGCCTGTCAGTGAAACTTGTGCAGAAATTCCAACTGGTTCGCCCCAGATCCTATCTATTTTGTAGCCGCTCGGTCAAAATGGTTCCGGAAATACGTATTTCTTGACCATTTACAGCCAATCCGTCCCTGACGTACTCGAGCAGTAATAGTCTGTTTTACGCGCGCTCTGGAATGGCGCCATCCACATTCTCTCGTTGTACATGTCCATGTGCCGCTACATTCTGCGGCGACCCGTCCGTTGCTTTTGACAGAGAAAAGAGATGGTAACGCTGGCGTCGCTCCACACCAACCTGAAACTAGCTACCATCACCTGCCCCTAAGAATTCACGATCTATAGTACGCCAACCCTGAACGAAGATAGCTAGTACCATCACCCTATTGCAAGGAACAGGGAGGCATAGTCTTCCGTGGAACAATGTTTCTTTTGAAACGCCTTAACTGTTTTGTCGGAAAACTTTTGATGAACCGGATGACTAAACTATCTGCACGAATTCATCATTGCCACATCACTTCGTGGTTTACCTATACAAGTGCGCAGTACATCATATCCGCGCGAATTTCATCGTTATTAAATGCCAAGATGTGAAGCAAATAATATGGATTGGCAAAACCTTGTAATAGATTCAACGATTGATGCCGATGCGCACGGATAAAACATACGGATGGCTACTTTTCTTACAGCCCTGATCTATCAACCCATCTCGTGGCAAGGTACCGAAATACCAAGCACCAGCTACGATTAAAATAACACGTGGGGCTACATTTACGAAAAGTGAGTAATTTTCAATCCGACTACGGTTGTTACATGTTTCACTAATGTACAGTTTGTCCCATCTTAATCTACAGTCCCACATCTGTAAGAAGCAAGAGCTTAGATAAGACAACATAGAATTTAACTTCATTTATCTCACAATCATTTCTTCCCGCTTCGGTCCCACACCGATGTATGTGATGGGAATTCCGAGGAATTTTTCAACATATTCAACATACTCACGGCACTAGATCATTACTGTTAAGACTTAATACTCTGATGTCAATGGATACTTACAGCAATAGGGAGTTCAGAATACTGTTTACAGTGGCTTATTGGTTCTTTCCAACCCCTGAGTATGACGTATTCCACTTCAACTTCGGCAAGCGTCTCAAGGTCAGCAGGAAAGCCTTCAATAGGAACTAACTGTCCGGGATGTCGATAGGCTACTGCTATCTTGATTTCGTCAAAGTCTATGTATCACGTTAGTGACAACTCTCAGGAGAACGACACACATACCATCTAGGACGTCTAACTTAGTGAAATTGATGGCCGTGTATGAATTAATAGCAGCACTATATTTAAGAAGCTTCAAATCAAGCCATCCACATCGCCTGGGACGTCCAGTCGTTACACCGAATTCTCTTCCCACTGACTGAAGTCTAGCGCCTAGCTCGTCATTGAGCTCGCTAGGAAAGGGGCCAGCCCCTACTCTGTTTCCAGAATTAGACAATATCTTGACCAGTTCTGGAGGGATTGCATACCTTGTCGTATACGCTTTCACGACCCCTAGAATTGATCCAATACCTAAGCAGTTAGTAGTGTAGTGTATGAGATATTATTCCACAAACTTTTTGGGCTTAATCCACCAAGCCCAGTGAACACTCCTCCTAGGCCAGTGTTACTAGACGTAACGTATGGGTACGTTCCAGCATCAAGGTCAAGCTAAGCCAGTCATTATTAAAAGGAAGGAATTGTGCCGAATTTGTGGATACGTGCCATTAGAGCATTAGCTCCTTCAATTAGCATAGGAGTCTTTTTTTGTTGTGCGCTCACGAGAAGTGGGACCTGGTCAATAACCAATGGTGCTAAAATGGTGCGGTAGTTCTAAGGCCTGATTGGAGAAGCTCGTATTTCTCGTGCAGGAAACATACCTCGAATCGAGCGATTTCCTCTTCAGGGTCGTATTGCAACAAGTCTCCGAATCTCTTCTTAAAGCCGGCGCTATGATTGGTCCTTAGCTATTCAGGCGCAGACAAATCAAGGATAAGTACGGATTGAGGCCAGACGTGCTCTATCTATATTGTGAAGTTGCCAAACACGAATTGGGAATGGGAAACTTTAATTCCTTCGGAGCTGGAGTAACTTACGCGAGTATGCGCACTTTTTTCTCAAAGATTTGTTTCTGAAAAATATCTGCAACTCGAATGCCGCTCCGAGATGCTTTCGTACTGTAACACGGTCCAATACCTTTGCCTGTAGTTCCTATTTTGCAGCCACCTAGCTCGGCTTCCTCTAGACCGTCTAGCTTCTGATGGAGATCGAGCACCACGCTATCACTGTTAGCAATCAAACGGGCCACATTTTGTCACGTACTGAGCTCTATCGCTGATGAATAGCCTATTTCTTACATCTGGTAGGTTTTTAGATTCAAGGTCGGACAGTTCCTTGAGGAGTCCAGGTATGTGTATGACGCAACCAGACCCTATTAAGTTTTGGGCGCCAGGATTCAGGAGACCACTGGGTAGTATGTCTGAGGCGGCTGTTAATAGAAGTATGGAGGTTGAAGATAATTTGACTCACGAAAATCGTACTATACCGTTATGATGGTACCAGTCAGTGTACGCGATTAGGAGTGATCGACAATACTGGTCTAACCGGACGTGAACAAACTAGACTTACAGTAATGCCATTCGCAACAATTGTATGTCTGGCAGCAATTAGTTGTAGGAAATTATCGAGCGGATAAGGCAGAGAGTCAAAGGTTTTGAAGTAGTTACCCTGCGTTATTACCTCCCTGTGCTCGACAGACTAATTTTTGCTGAGGGCATAGGATATCCACTAGCTTGCCCTACCACATCATAACTGTGAGTAATTAAAATAATTGAGGCGTTTCGATAGCTTGACTACCTTTCCCTCATCACCCTGAGAAAAAGTGTTAGCAGTTTTTGACAGCTTTCTTAATCATAATGTATTACCCATTGCGCGCCTAGAACTACCGTCGCCATCTTTTGAGACTTGTGGCAAGAAAGATGAAGGTACACTTATAAATTTATGGTTCTACCAGTGTCTGGAGGTTGAAATTGTGATGACTATATTGATGACGTTAATGGAAGGTTGATGCTAATGGAGGTTGATGATCAGATGCGGCTGGAGGGTGATAGCGCCGCGGGGCACAATACGCGTTGGGTGGAGGGTGCGGGATGAATTGGAATGCAAAAGGGCGTACACCTGCCACCGTTGTGACCGAATTGCGACAAGCGAATGGTGTGCTTGGTGTGGGTCCAGATTTCGAGAGGCGGAACATGGTTGGGTGAGGGTGGAAGGCTCGAGAGTGAGCGGATATTAAAAGTGTTTTTGGGACAGGGATGGCGGTGGTATAAAGCATTCAGCGTCAATGAGCCACAATTCGCCCAATCTGCACTATTCATCGCACAGGCGGCGCCCTGGTTCAGGTGATCCATCAGGAGAACAGGGTGTTGGGTCAAATGACGCGTGGGGTGGGAAGGCAATGAGCACCTTCTTGGAGAGGCGCGAGTTGTCATGCAAAAGTCATCTGCCCGCGCTGAGCGAGACTGTGCCTAGTTTTGTCCGAAGGGGAGGACTCGGGATCACGAGAGGATGGCCCTATTGAACGGCATACAGAGCTTAGGGCCGAGCAACGCGGTTTTCCCGATGCTTTGCTCTGTGGAGCTAGTCGTCGCGCAAGAAACCTTGTGTGATGGGGTTTTTTGGACTTATAATTAGATTGGGCGACAGACGAATTCCTTGTCCTCTATTTCAGACTGGTCATAGATTGGGTGGAGGCTCTACCCCACCGACTTGCTCATAGGGAGATGGGATAATATAATAAGAGCCAAATTCGGGTCGTAGGTTACGATTTGTAGAGCACGGCACGACCTCTCTTCCATTACCTGATTAAATCATCTCTTTTAATGGCCCAGCAGCTGACCCGATTAATGTCTCTCGCTCTGTATCTTTCTTTTGAACTCGCGAGCCAATGATCCTCGCTGTCTATAAGAATACAGGTCAAATTGATTACACAAGAAATACTCTTATGTGGCTAAACCCTACGATACAGGTTCTAGTAGTCCTCCATAGCCTTAGACTTAGAGAGGACTATAAAATAAATCTAATATAATTTTCAGTTCGTGACCAGTTACTCGAGGAGGCATATCAGATGTGCGCTCTAGCAGCGTGTTTAATTTTTGTGTTACAAATCTTCGTGGTCTGGTTGATGTGCTTCTTGTTACGTATGAGATGGGAAAGAGGATCGCGAGTCGGGTTCAATTTGCTAGCTTACTTGATAGGGAGTAGGAGTCGAGCAGCTGGAGACGAACTTGGCTGATGAGCGGGTATCGTAATTCGTGACATGCTTGCTCGCTTCTGAATTCCTAACAATTCCGTGTTTCGATTGAGGAGGAACACACTTCCTCCGAATTAATGAAGTGTAGAGTAGCTTTCCTAGTCTACTTCCAGAAAGAGTCTAATTTTCAGCGCTGCGAAGATGTCTGGCCTCCAAGCTCCCACCGAGCACAATACTATACAGGACTTGTCCCTCACTATCTACTAGAAAATATTGGGAATTGAAATGGTTGAATTTATAAAAATTTGTTAGTCTCTTTCATGTAGAAACTAGAAGTCCTCTATAGTCATAGCCTCATATAGGACTATAATAAAATCTAATCTAATCTAATCCCACCGAGCACAGCGCAGATCGTTCTCTTCCCGATGCAAGTCAATCATCGAGTTCCGACTTAACATTTTTATTGTTTGTCAGACCAGGGCCTTGTGACTACGGGCCTTAGCGCGGCCATGTGCCCCCTAATAAATCCACACTTATCGATACTACGAGCTCCAAAGGGGAGGACGAAGGCTGAACACCTGTCAGTGGTGTCATCTACGAACCTGAGAGTGGAATATTCTCCCCGAACCGAGATTCAGTGACGCAATAGGGTGGGGTGAATTATTTTTCGTGGATTGTCGGCTTGAAGGATTCGTACTCGGTATTTTGGTCGAAAATTCAGACGATAGAGATTTTACAACTGCAAGAAAGTCGAACAAGAACTGATCGCCGCCAACAAACGATACACGAATAGACCTAGGTTCATCTGGGGGTCGTATTCAAACAACCGACATCTCTGGAATTCCTTACATGTTTGCTACGAGGTATTTCTCAATCGATCCTACATCTGCGACTCACCTCCCTATACACGCTCGAATGAGGAAAGTCAGATGAAAACGGAACATATCTGAAAGAGGAAAAGAGGGAATTTATTCTAAGGGAATCACAACTTTTAGCTGAGGTTTAGATCCCCAATGTCGACAAATACCTAACGGTAAGACGAGGATGAGTAAGGTCAGCATAAAACTAGGATCTGGGACGACATAAATATCTCGAAGTCAATAAGATTTTCAAGGACTTGAGCGCGTGGTGGCCGAGGCTGAGGAGGAATCTAACCTTACGGCATGTATACAGCGGGGTTCAGGATAGTCGGGCTTTGAATGATTCAACACACTGGTGAAGTCTGAGCTGGTTTGGTGATTTACTTGATTTGATTTGTTTTGTTCATTTACGCGCTAAGTATAGTGATTCCCGGTGCACTCTTACTGGAGCTTAAGCACGGGTGGGGCCGGGCCGGATCAGGTTAACTACCATAAAGTACAAGTGTCTCGTCCCACCTAAATGACCGGACCACCTCAGACTTCACCCATGTGTTGAATCATGTCAGGCCCAACCGTCCAGAGAACCCTCCTTTGGCGCGCCGAAACGCAAATTCCTCCTCAGCCTCGGCCACCACGCGCCCGAGCCCTTGACACCTCCGCGATCTGTAACTTTTCCCTTCGATTCATTCCCAGCTTTGGCTCATCTCAGCATCTCCTCATCTCATCCAGGGGTTGTTTTCTTCACTGGAGGCCTAGCCCAGTCGCCCATCAAGGCCTCCTAAGTTTGTATTCCCTTTTATTCCTTAATGCAGCATCCGTCTATCCTTCAGCCGATCTCGTCATCCCAGAAACTTTGTAGAATATCCACCCCTCCGGCCTTGCCCCGTCGCTGCCGTACCCCTAATCGTGGGGGTCGAAAACGCGACTGAGAGCTCAAGACCGAGGCACCGGTGCCCAAGCCTTTGTCGAATGCTCTAGTTGGTGTGCCGGCGAAATGTCGTACGTATTTCGTCGGTGGCGATTTGTCGCAGGTCGAGTTAATGGTGCCCTTGGCCGAAGTGAAGACGCATTTAAGGCCGGTATTTCGACCGTACCTTCACAGTGGCTGGCAGTTGCGAAGGGTCTGACATCCTCTTGCTTCTTTGATGGCGATTTAGCTTTTGGAGGTATGGGATTGCTTTGGTAGGTAATGAGATTATTGTGGAGAGGGCCGCGATGTAAGGGGACGAGAATCACGGACGCTGCACGCAAAGGCTGTCACAAAATAATCTATATTTTCTATGAATAGAACACTTCAGTGGGACAGAGCCAATGTAAGGTGTGTGCTGATGACCACCTTATATAAGCACTTACTAAGCGTCTAACCTGTTGCAATAGACAGGCCTATTTGCCACATCCCGCTTACATGCAAGGCTGGGACAGTAAGTCAGCTCAGCCAACTAACACCGGGTAAAACCCGGAACACGCGAGATGAGTTTGGCTGAGAATGAATTTCCAGAGAAAAAGAAAATAGGATCTTGAAGATGTCGGTTGTTGTGATACGAACAACAGACAGGTTATAGGCTGTGTGCGGTTCATATCTGGGGTGCAGATGGTTGATTTCGTTGAGTTGTGCAGTCGTGAAATCTCTGCAAGTCGGATTTTCGACCAAAAATGAGCCAACACCACTCCTCCCGATCGCCAACTCGACGAAAACTCTCAAATTCACCCTTTTTCGTGACTGAATCTCGGCTCTGAGAGAATATTTCGCTTCCAGGTTCGTAGAGGACACCATTGGCAGGTGTTCAGCCTTCCTCCTCCGGTGATTTACTTGAGATGAGGTTTATTGTAATTTTATGGTAGTTAACCTGATATAGCCCTGCCCCGCTCGTGTTAAAGCTCCAAAAGAGGTGTGAAGGGTGCCAATCGCCCAGCACATCATTCTACAAACAAACGCGAGCTTCGAAGAGCCAGAAAATCTACACGATAAAAATTAAAGGAGAACTTTGTATACCTATCTACGTGCCCCTTACGTCGGATTATCTTTTAAACAAAGATAGGTGTTGTGGGGGTCATGAATCACGCGCCGCGTGATTTGGCTAACCCTAAATAGGTTAGCTAGACCCGACCCGTAAGAGTGAGACACTCACACTTATACGAGCTGAACAGAATAAATGATAAGAATGAATCATGATTAAACCATCAAGTAGCAACTTAGTACCTTTAATTTATACGATACTTTGCCATATCAACAATAGGTTTCATGAGAGCGTTCTTCGGAAAGCTTCATTCCTCCAACCCTCATACGCCTCTGACATGGAAGTTTGGTAGAATCACCCTATCGTATTACAATGTTTCCCATGGCCTAGGGTCTGCATCCGACACAGAGCTTCATCTCAGGGTTAATAATCATTCCGTATCTAGCCGTAGAGCTATAGTACTCACAGCTACACCATTACTTGAATTACGTCCCCGGCCTGGGGAGGCAAATCAACTTTCAGAGCACAGACGTCGCGATCATCACAGTGTTGTGGTTATGAGCTGTGAGGTATATAGCAATTATGTCTCTGCTGTCCGTCGGTGGAATTACACGGGCTCATGTGCAATGGTGAGTCGCGGAGATGGCGCGCTCACGCTGGGTGATGGCGCGATGGACACTGAGTGCGTATCACTGTGGCCAAATGGGTGTCAGTAGGTATCAAATGTGAACTCTTACTGACGATGGTGATCTATGAAGGTGATGCTAGATTTGTATTCCAACGATTGATAATATCATCTAATGGGTGATGTGAAGTATGATATTATTTTGGATAGATTTATTCACTAAACTCGGCAGGTGAAGAGATAGTAGAGTACATGAACAGCGTCTGTGCACCCGCCTGTATTTTCCACCCTTTCCTAATCCAGCAGCCCATCCTCCGTTCCCCTGTCTCCTAACAACTCAACCGAGCCAGCACAACACACAGCCTCTAATCACCACGGAGAAAACCCCATTTTGTCCGGTCTCTCGTTTTGTTCATCGTGTCGCTCCCATTACGACGCAGACTCTTGTGTAGCAATTCGAAGCCTCTTCTCTCAGCTATAGGCTCGGGAATGTCTGCATGTTTTTTTTAAATCATTAAATGTGTATTCAGCTATCTATCTATGATACATGACCGGTGCTATGTATACATATCGGATGACTCTTTTGAAGTTAGAGACACTCATACTCTGGATTTCACTCGCACATACCACTATGGAGTATGTTCGCCTACACAAACAGTCAAGCCTCCTCCGTTAGTACCCACCAAAGGGAATTTCGAAACCTTTGGTTATCCAAGAATGCCTTCGTCATTCGTGCATACCAGCGCCGCGAGAAATGTTGTTGTGCTTTGCCGGATTCGAACCAGCGATCTACTGTCTCGAGTGGGATATATGTCCTAGCTATCCAGACTCTACTTGGTAGACTGTCCCAAATGAGATGCAACCGCAACGTACAACTATGGCGGTGTTTATAGTGTCGCCTGCACTCTCGCAACCGAAGCCTTGGCACGCACAAGACTCAATTTGTTAAGGCACCTTGGCAACATTCAAAATTTCACGCCTGTAAAGATTGTATCCATCCTCCGCATCATCTTGTGAACTTGTCCTGATCCAGCTCACGTTCATCCAAAAGAACTGTCTTCTAGCGTTATGCGCCACGCTTTGTTTCCTCCGTCGGGTATAAATATCGGCGTGGGTGTGTAATTGGTGTCAAAATGAGGCCAGAGAATACTCGACAACATGTGTGGTCGTTGGAGTGAGAATGTGCTAGGTCGTATTTGTAGACATGATGAGAGTTAGCAGGAGTCGATCTCGTTGGGAGTGAAAAAACTATGTGGAGTATTAATTTGAATCATTGCCTCGTGGGCCAACTTCTCTGATAGTGCGGAATTTGACTGAACTTGGCTCTGGGAGAATACTTCATACCCAGGTTTGTAGATAACACCATGTAAGGTGTATAGTCTTGGCCTACGGTCTGTATGTTGGATGGGCACAGTGCGCGTCGCCACTGTCAGCCTCCTTGTCGATCCTGGGCCACTCTGAAGACACCACTGGGTACTCCCAGACAGCGCTCCCACCCCGAATTGATTTTACTCTGGGCTTAACGTGGGTGCTTGTGGGCTAGCTGTAGTGGGATCTGTTCTTCTTGCGCAAATCCAGTCACTTATGATAATAATTCCCTTTTCATTTGCATGTTCTTACCACCTACTTCTCTACCTACTGAAAATTTCGGCGAGGTTTTCCGGCTTTTGTCCCACGAATCAAACAATTAGTCACGAAATGAATGGCTCACACTTCATAATCTAGCAGATATTCTACCATTGTAGAGAACATGTCTTCGCCACATATCGCTCTCAAGACAAACTTCAGCTCTATAGACGACTAACCTTACTTAGAGAAGGAAATGCGTTACCATGATAGTCAGGATTATGGATAGGAAACTTGTGAAGCTATGATAGAGCACGCGCAGTGTACGCTTTGAGTATTCCGCATCAATCTCTACCCCACATTTGTAGCAGATTACTTGGCTCTGGAAGCATCAATGGGAATAACGTGCCAGACTGAGGCGAGGGTTTGGGGGGGTTTATTTATCTTAATTGGTCCTCCCAGGCAACGATGCCAGGTCATTTATCATATGAGGCAACTAAATATAGGAGGGTTGGGATAAAATGCCTCTTGTATCAGCTTCAATGTTTCCACATCTCATAATTCATTCTCCTGGCCAATACTCTGGCCGCATCTTGTGCGACTTGACATGCCCAGATGAAAAATAGATACTCAGCGAATCAATTTACCTAGTGTTGAGGTGAAACACCTTTCGGTACTTTAGGGTACCATTTTGAAGCCCATTTTAACCCCTTTACCTATAGCATATGGACCAGATGACACCGAAGAAACGGATGCCGTTTTAATAAAGTATCTATCCAATGTCTCCAGTAACTGTCTTTCATAAGCAATACCTCTGTGTAGAGTGTAATGAATCTGGATTTTCTCGCTGCTTCACCAGTTGAATCTAGTATTCAAGCATTATAGAACAGCTTTCATTTCATGGATTGTTTTAGAGTATCATTCTGACGTTGTTTTCGTAGCTCTAGCCCATTCCTCCCTTTTATCCTCGAGAAATTTACCTTTCTCAACCCATCTTGATTCAAGCCATGAGGCCAGCTCGCCATCAGTTTGGGGTAAATCGGCAATAAGGAACCGCCGAACATCAACATGAAATTTGTATCCCCGTCGCGTACTAAGTGAGTCCAGTGTCAATGATTCCCAGATGCTCGGCGGAGACAAGAATTTATTTTCATGACTGTACGCTATGGTCATATCGTATACGGCTTTCATATGCTTGGCTTTACGAAGGTGTTGAACGGTTGAGACAAAGCCTTTCATCCGAGGGTATAGAAGATGCTGGGGGAATGCTTTCTTGTTTTCCTTGCACCAGATTTTGGCCTCCTCGGCCTTACGAGGAGTGTAACGCGTTGCCTCGCTAAAGCTAATGAGCCCTATATATTCATTAATGAGTCCCTTTGCTTCAAGAAGAAAGCGACCTACATGTCGGCCAGTGTCTTTCGGTGATTCCAGAAAACACGCGCTCCAGCTCCTTCTTGTCCTGGGTCCATTTCCTGCTCACCATAGGCATCCTCATGGCCCAGATGCCCCATCCCAGCAGCGGTATCCAGCGCAGTTCAATTTTGGCAAACCAGCGACAGCGACCAAGCATCCCAGACCGTATTGCTAGAGCTTGAATCATGTAGAAGTCGGTCCAGCTGACGTGGTTGGCGATAACAATAGCCGATTCTCCCCGAGGTAATTCGTCTCCCGAAAAGGTAATCTGGCCATTATTTCCGATCTCAAAGATAACTTGGATCCAGTTCCAACAAGTAAAGGCTATGTAGCTAGAAACATTGTATACCCAATCTGGAAACAAGTAACTGAGAGGTAGGAGCAGAGAGAGGGCCAGGTCCATAAATATCAAATAGCCGAGCCATGGCAGGAGAATTACCAGGCCTCTCACCGTCGTGTAGAAGGACATGACTGCTGTCAATATTCGATAAAAGGGCTGTGAACTGAATATATCCACTAAAAATTATAACTGTCTGCGAGCGGCATGGATAGATGGGAAGGTGTCGTGCGAGTTGAGAAAGGTCCGCCCTCATATAGGTAGAAGATGGGGGTAGGGGTCAAGGTGCAGCAGTGCGGCGATAGTTTGAGAGCCAGCGCAAGCTCACAACTTGTCTGCATTCCTTTCACTTCCCCTACAATTGACATGAACATGCCATCTATCTGATGATACAGCGCTTTCTTATATGTCAAAATTCTCGCAACGTCCGATTTTTGATTGTCTTCCGCGTTTGATTACTTCTCTCCTCCCCCTGATACAACCCAGCCCTCCGTATATCCAAAAGCTCAGATTTCTTAAAAGTTACCCTTTTTCTTTGGAACTGAGAGAATCAGCAGCACTATCCCAGTAGGATGGATATTGTAGCCTTCATTTGCCAACAGTATTGTTCACACGTCGGAGGTGAGCAGTCAACATTGTCCGTACTATACAAAAATTTAGCGAAGCAATTGCTACTACAGAGTATACTGCTAATAGTATATTGAATCTCCTTGCGTCAAAGCCTCTTCTACACAGCCCGAGGACGAATTGTTTTCGTACCGAATGAAAACTTGTAGCCCTCATTCTAATTGAGGGTCCCGTGCCTAATTTCCTTTGTTGCCACGACATGGCTGACCAGACTTGTAAAGGTTGGGCTCGTCGGGTCGATCAAACATTGCCCCCCATGACAGTGTCGGATATTTCTTAATTTGGATACGGCTGTCTCTTCTCAGACCCACATCAAAACAATCGTTGATATCGATTATCGGAACAAAGGCTCGGATATAGCTGGTCTGGGAAACTTTCGGGGCTCCTTATGAAAGAATAAAAGTGTTGGAAAATATCGAAGTACGCGTTGTAACCATAGCTTGAATCTACAATCGTTTGCATGAAGCATCGTGTACAAGAATCAACATATACGTTACAGGTAGGTAAGGAGGGTATGAGAAAGTGCGAAGTCAGTGAAGTGTATTAATTATATCATTGTCCTTTATTCGTCTTTGACTATATAGGATGTGCAGGTCCCCTTTGCCTACAGACCAAGGACACCTATCTAGTAGTATATCCCCTCTTATGCCTCCCATAAAGCTCCCCTCAAATAGTACTACCCCTCAAAGGTCCTCGCTTGGTCATGCAAATAGAGTAGCCCTCGCCCTTCAGTATCTCCCCACTTCAGCCAACGAAAAAATAACTTTTTGCGGGTGTACGGCAGCCGGGAAAAATCGCGAAAGTCACTGGATCCAGGTCTTCTCCTAGTGCCGACATCAGTAAGTGAATGGGTGATGTTTAATGTACTACTTGAGTCTATGACCATCTACCACATTGGGCTCCTTTCTGACCTAGGCCACACCTTGTACAGTGCTCCTTGCTTCTTTTGTTGCTTGTAAGATCATTGATGTATTCCCCGTGATGAATAGCCATTCAGCTTAGTGTTTACCCGTGGAATTCTGCCACCTTTTCCACGGAACCTTCTACCGAAAAAAATAAAAAAGGTAGCAATGGAAACTGCGTGCGCGGGAAAATTCCTCAAAAAACCTGCAGCCCCAGCCAGGCGAGGCCTAGACACCGGGACCACACGGGGTGCGCATATTCATCTATATCTCCCTTCTCTGCAACAGTCGAGGTCGACTTGATCTAATCCACAATCTCCGAATCGGGTGCTGGGTACGCTCCGGAAACTCATCGGATGGCTTTTCCTCCATGATCAAGTGTTGGTGATGAGAAGGGCTCCGACCCTACCATCTGATCTGATTGTGGTTAGCTTCATGATAATGGTGATAGGGGGATGTGTTGAGAGATGAAGATGATACAGACCGCGTAAGCGATTGGGAGTCCTCGTCGAAGTGAGGACTTTGTTACTCAATCTCGGCTCTACAGACTCTGCAGACTCTACAGTAAGAGCTGGAGGTTCGTAGGGGACACCACTGACAGGCGTTGAGAATAGTCCCCCTGCTGACATCAGAGCTAGATGCGAGGACATAGCTACTCTTCTCAAACTTTCCCAGAGGCCAGCTAGCTGTGTCACGGACAAAGGGCCTATTCTGAGTCAATAGGAAGTATGTACGAAGATATCTGTTCTATTCTATCTTACTGTTACGGTTTGACTGTTGTTTTAGCTTAGGAGGAAACCTAAGCGTTGAAATAGGAATAATTACGATATGTGTTGACAGGACTTAAGCACTAGTGCTGGGGAATGGAAATAGAGTGTACTGAATTGTATATATTATTCCTATTATCCAGGGTGTTTCGAACCTCTAAAAATTAGATGAGACGCACAGGCCTCTCCAGGCTAGTCAGCTATTAATATCTACCGAGCCTAACGGCCTGAGGTTGCAACATTCAGCTTGAGTGGAACCAACACTGGCAACTTCTTTTCTTTTTTTTTCCAGAACCCAAACACCATCATAACTAAAAATACCCAAAGAAAAAGAGTTCCAAAACATGAGAACGTAAAGCAGCGCTATGTGAACAGAAGCCAATAAAATCGAAGTCCTCAACTCATGTGTTTGTCAGAGTAACTTGGTTGTTCAACAGATCCATCTATTCTAATGGAAAGTGTGTTCTTGTCAATGAATCTCGTCAACGCCTGGTTGAGCAATGACTTAGTCACTGCATCGGCAAGGTTATCTAGTCCATTAATTCAGCAAATCTCTTCAATCTCTCTTCGTTCATATGATTGTTGAAGGGCCATCACGTCAATCATCAGACGCTTTTCATTGGTTGTTCCCAACTTAGTTAGGCACTCATACAGACTGAAGGAATCTGTACAAATCACAAGTGGGATGGGTTTTAATTGAAGCTCTCTTGTCACCAACTTAAGAGTTGTAAAAAGTGCCAAACCTAAGTCAAATCCGTTGACCATACCATAGATCTCCGATGCTAGGACACTGCGTGTAACGCGTTTGCACTTGGTTGATGAGTAGTGCAGCAGGTTGCCTCTAATATCAAACAAATCTCTGTGAACATTCTCGTTTATAAGCATGATCACATACCCGATTTGTGAGCTCAGATCACAGTTGTTAGCAAATGAACCATCAGTAAATACCATAAGCTTTGCCTTTGACAGATTGACAGGGACAAAATTTAGGCCTCGCTGGGGGTTATAAATCTACCATTAAAGACGAGTGTTGAGCTTAACAATATTGTCAAATGTAGGTTGTTGTGTTTGCGCCACCATAGATAGATCATAGGCGGCTTCGGGCTGGCAGATCGAGGCAATATAGGCATCACGAGCACGCTGTTCTAGAAATTGTTGTGCCCGAGTATCAGCCTTACTGTTGACAGCCTTAAGCTTAGCTCCTTGACCTTTCTGATGCATATCAATAAATCCCGCTTTATCATCCTTCATAGTCACAATGCAGCCATTGAAATTAAGCGATGATTTTGATGAAAGTACCTGCTTCTCTTTGGTATCAAATTTCGCCTTTTCGATCTCTTTCTGCTCTTTTGCAGAGAAATCAGGACTAGCAACGATGAGGGTATCATCGGTCTGCATGCCAACCATGCCAAATCCGTGGTTTGTTGCATCCTTATTCACAACCATAAGACATGGATTGTATGTCAAAGATACCATGTGGAGATTCTCAATATGGTGTTTTTGGTAGGTGGTAAACCAGTGAACACCTGATTCTGCAACACCATATAGGGGCTTTATGACATGTAATACAGTCCCAGGTGGATATTTATTTTTCAGTTCAGATGGCAGCTGAGCAAGAATGTACTGCTGTAAGACAGTCTGTGACTGTGGGTATGCTTGGGTAATATCTCTCAGTTCCAGTGCCGTTGATAAATGTAGACAGGCGGCAATTGCAATGAGCAGTCGCTGACTGACACGCTGGATTGTGGGTGACTGGGTGAGTATTTGAGTTTTATCAAAGTCACTTTGGCCGGTAATGACAAGTCGTGATTTTTCATAGGGATTGTCAGTTTTTCCTTTCACCTTGCGGACTATTTGTGACTTGAACAGGCGGATATTTTTGTGTACCCTGTCAGGATCATATTTTACAAATTCAAAAACTCCACGTTCAGACAGCTGATCAATTTCTTTCTTATCAGATGTTTCAAATGGTAAGCCAGGTGTTGTAATAATACCCTCTGCTCGTAATTTGAGTGACAGGATTCGATCGCTCTCCTCCTTCTTTGATAGGTATGTTGGTAACGGGATAGAAGAGGGTATTGCCTTTGGTTTATTCCTCGATCCTTGTGGTCGGCCTCGACAACGAGGTTGCTCAGATTGAATATTAGATTGTGGCTGGTCGTGCTGGTTAGGTGGGGTTACTGTTGTCTCTTTAGGCGGCTCTGGTGTTACTATGCTATCCTGGCGTTGATAGGGTCGAACATGGGTTGACCTGAAGGTTATTGGGCCGTTTATCATTTCGACAGTAACATTGTGGCCTTCCATAGCGGCTATTCTGTAGGGTCCTTTCCATCCTTTATTTTCTCGCCGTACAATTACTTCACTTTGGAGAGGCAAAGCAAGGATAGTACCATCATCAGGACCGTTACGGGCGTTCAGGGCTTCATTTACCTGACGTGCTGCAGCAAGTTTTCGAAGAGTTATCATAGCCTTATGCACCGCTGCTCCACGTCTGAGAGTTGTCAGAGATGGCGGCAAATCAACTGCTACCCTTGGGTAGGCACCAAAAACCAACAGCGTTGGTACAAGACCATCAGAGCCAGTGATATCATTGATGGCTTTAATAGCCATCTGCAGTATTGCCTCTTCTCTATTAAATGAGCCTAGTTCCGTATAGAGTATCTCACATGCCTTGCGTAATGGTGCATGTCCCCTCTCGATTTTTCTGATAGACCAATGCACCTCAGTGGGTATTTGCTTACATGTGATTCCCATTGCCTTTGAGCTGAAATTGGTTCCAGCATTATGTGTCAAAGTATCCGGTGGACCAAGGTTTGTATTGGCCCATAACAAACGA